AAAATTAGTGGAGGCGTCAAACTCTTTCCTGTTGTTGTCTCACCACGCACGACTGACAGGGTATTCTGGAAGCTGCTCGTCATCTTCTTCCTCAAACAGTCAAACTCTTTCCCGATGGCAACAACCCCTGAGTTCGATTCGACCTTCAAGCTTCAACCAAGATTTGACCTTCGAGTTCGAACGACTTTGATTCAACCCGGATTAAGACGAATGCTTCGACGCCTCCAAGAGGAGTATTCGACAGGCATGATTTAGAATTGGGCTAGTCAGGGCAGGTCGGGTCGATGAGAGTACCCATGCCCGCCCCGCCCAAAATAGGGCAAACAGGTCGGGTAAAACGGGTCAGGTCGAAATTGCCATCCCTAGTCCTACTAAACCTGGGGGCCACCTGCATTCAATTTCGACGCCAACGGGGCTTTGGTCCCAGCAGCCTTATACTTTTGGGAACACCAACGGGTCTCGCTTGAATTTGAACCTGAGATCTGCAACTCCCAAACCATCACTGTCACGGCAGTTTTATAGTTAGACTATCTTACCTTTGGTTTTAATTTTTAATTAGTAGTGATTGATGCATTTTAGTAAGAACAATGATGGGAATTTATTGAAAAGATAATCCATATGAAATTATACAATTAACTATTGTTATAAACGCGCTACTACGGATAAGGAAATTGCCGAAATCGATAAAGCAAGAATATGAAAGCGAGAATCAAAAAACACAGACACACGATTTACGTGGTTCACTAACACAATGTGTGTTAGCTACGTCCACGGGCGAGAGAGAGCAAGTTTCACTATATCGAGGAGATTACAGATTATAGAGGAGTATGAGAAGTATTTATAGTACTTCTCATTGTGGGTCTAAACCTAATCCAATATGGCAAAGGAAACGGTTACAGACCAGACCCAGAACCCGTACCCAAATAACATCGAGCCCAAATAACAGCGAGACCCCCGATTACCAGTCGTAGCGGCTGATAGTCCGATTCAAGTCATATCAACAAATCTCCACCTTGACTTGAATCCTCTTCCTCTGAAATCTCTGATGTACTCTGCTCCTTTGCTCTCTCTCCCGCCATCAATGCCCCGCAGGGCGGAGTCACCCACTCAAGACATTCAGCAAGTCCAAGCAGTGTTGGAACTTGCCATGTGGAACCGGCTTCGTGAACATATCAGCAGGATTATCCGCGGTGCCAACCTTCTTCACCTTAATCCTCTTCTCTGTCCTCAAGAAATGATACCTCACGTCGATGTGCTTAGTCCTCTCATGGTGGACTTGATCATTGGCCAAGCACATTGCACTCAAACTGTCACAATACACCACTGCCTGATCATGATGTAGACCCAGATCACCAACCAGTCCCTTCAACCATATTCGCTCCTTAGCAGCTTTTGTCAATGCCATATACTCTGCCTCAGTAGTAGACAATGTCACCGCCGACTGCAAAGTTGCCTTCCAGCTCACTACAGAACTCCCAAGAGTGAATACATAACCAGTCATCGACCTCCTCGTTTCAACATCTCCAGCATAGTCCGAGTCAGAATACCCAGACACCAAGCACTCTGTATCACTTCCGAAGCTAATCCCCACATCAGGTGTACCCTCAAGGTACAAGAAGATCCTCTTCACAGCCTGCCAATGCTCCTTCCCAGGTTGTATCATAAACCTGCTGACAACACTAACAGCATGTGCAAGATCAGGTCTAGTGCATACCATAGCGTACATCAAGCTACCTATTGCACTAGCATATGAGACTCTCGACATGTACTCCTTCTCAGCCTCTGACTGCGGTGCATAAGCAGAGGATAGATGAACATTTGAAGCACTGGGAGTATTTAAGGGCTTTGCTGAAGACATGCCAAACCTCGACAGTATCTTATGGATGTAGCTCTTTTGTGACAAGAAAAGCTTCTTCTTCGTCTCAAACTCAGCACTGAGAAGCCTCTTTAACTTCTGGATATCAGACTTTGACCTCGTAGCTATGAGCATATCATCCACATACAGAACAAGATAGATTATCGAACCATCCTCCACCTTGTTGTGATACACACAACAATCATATGGACTTCTGCTATAGCCCAGCTCAAGCATGTAACTGTCAAATCTCTTGTACCAATGCCTCGGAGACTGCTTAAGTCCATACAAGGACTTCTTCAGCTTACAAACATAGTCTTCTTTTTCCGGAACCTCGAATCCTTCGGGCTGAGTCATGTAAATTTCTTCCTCCAACTCTCCATGTAGGAAAGCTGTCTTCACGTCTAGCTGCTCGAGCTCCAAGTCATAATGTGCCACTATTTCTAGTAACACTCTGATCGAAGTATGTCTGACCACTGGTGAGAGAATCTCATTGTAGTCAACTCCTTCCCTTTGCGAGAAGCCTCGTGCAACCACCCGAGCTTTAAATTTCATGCCCTCTTTAGAAGTGATTCCTTCCTTCTTCTTTTATATCCACTTGTTTGTAACAATCTTCCTTCCCTGTGGTCGTTTGATTAGCTCCCAAGTCTGATTCCTGTCATGGGATTCCATCTCATCTCCCATTGCGGCAAGCCACTGATCAGCTTCACCACCCGAAACGGCTTCTCTATAGGACTGTGGCTCACCTGCATCCACTTCTTCAGCAACCTGAAATGAATACGCCACCATGTCCTCGAAACCATACCTCTCTGGAGGTACTCCTGCGGTCGCTCTCTTTGGTCTACCGGAAGCTATAGACTGTTGAGCTCCTGCACTGGAATTTGAAGTTTCTGGCTCAGTAGAAACATCCTCATGTTCTTCTCCACCTTGGTGCTCAAACTCACTCTCATTGAGAGTTTGCAGCTCCACTTGCTTATCAACATTCCTGCTACCTTCAACAACAGTAACCTTCAACATGGGGTTAAAGATAGACTTCTCATCAAATATCACATTTCTACTGAGTATAACTCGATGCTCAGAAGGTGACCAGACTCGAAATTCCTTAACTCCATCTCCGTAACCCACAAATACACCCTTCTTTGCCCTTGGATTCAGTTTACCCTCATCCACATGATAATAAACAGGACACCCAAAAACTTTCAGTGAGGAGTAATCAGCAGGCTTACCATACCACACCTCATAAGGAGTCTTCAACTCGATACCTATGTGAGGTCCACGGTTGATCAGGAAGCACGCCATGTTCACTGCTTCTGCCTAGAATCTTCTCTCTAGTCCGGCATTAGAGAGCATGCACCGTGCTCTCTCCAACAACGTCTGATTCATCCTTTCTGCAACGCCATTCTGCTGGGGTGTATCTCTCACAGTCCGATGACGGGCAATCCCTTCATCTCTCACTTTTCTGCTTCATCATGAAAATCCAAGTAAATCTCGAATAATCATCAATAATAGACAGAAAATAATTGCTGCCTCCAATGGATTCAACTCGTGAAGGACCCCAACAGTCGAAGTGGAGGTAATCTAGTATCCCCTTCGTCCGGTGGAGACCCTTCTTGGGAAACTTGCTGCGATGTAGCTTCCCAAACACACAATGCTCGCAGAATTCCAAATTCTACATCTTGTGCCCGCAAAGAAGATCCCTCTTCGAAAGAACTTGCATCCCCCGTTCACTCATATGCCCCAGTCTCATGTGCCAGAGAGTGGTCATATCTTCCTGATGAACCTGAGACGATGCAACTGCAGCAGAACCAGACAACACAGACCCTTGTAATGCATACAAGGTCCCACGCTTCACGCCCTTCACCACCTTCCTTGAACCTTTGCAGACATACACAACTACACCTTTTCCTTTGAAACTGAAACCCTTGCTGTTGAGTAGACTCAAGGAGATCAGGTTCTTTGTCATTCGTGGAACATGCCTGACATCACTCACGGTACAAAACAAACCATCATGTGTCCAAACCTTAATGGAACCGATTCCAAAAACCTTGCAGGCACTTCCATTAGCCATGACCACGTTACCACCATCTATCTGCTCGTAGGTTCTGAAGCAATCCCTGTTCGGAGACATATGGTATGAGGCTGCAGTATCCAGAAACCACACATCCCCACGATGTGTCTTCTCCTCTACAGCCAAGGCGAGGTCGTCTTCAGAACTGTTGTCCACTTCTGCCATGGCAACTGAACCTTGTTTCTTCTGTTGCCCTCTTCTCTTGGGACAGTTGTACTTCCAATGCCCCACTTCCTTACAGTTGTGACAAGCATCACCTGGCTGTGGACCGGGACCATTGGAATTCTTGTTCGAATTCCCTTTACCAGATTTCTTCTTTCCCTTTCCACCTGTAACAGACAAACCCGATGCCTCACCTCATGTACTAGATCCAGACGCCTTATGTCTAATCTCTCTCGTATGAAGAGTAGACCTGACATCTTCCAACGACACGCTTTCTTTACCAGAAATAAAAGAGTCAACGAAATTCTCATATGAACTCGGCAAAGAAACCAACAGGATTAGGGCAGCATCCTCGTCATCAACTTGAACATCTATATTACGCAGATCCAGCAAAATAGAGTTAAGCTGTTCGAGATGTTCCCTCAAAGGCGTACCTTCTTGCATCCTCAAGCTGAACAACCGTTGCTTGAGATGCAGCTTGTTGGTTAAGGACTTCCTCATATACAGACTCTCCAACTTTAACCACAAGCTCGCGGCAGTCTTCTCAGCATCGACTTCAATGATGACGTCATCAGACAACGATAGCATGATGGTCGAGTGGGCCTTCTCCTCCAGGGTATTCCACTCATCGTCATCGACCGCTGCCTTCTTCTTTTTTGCATACAGCGGCCCCCACAACCCTTGCTGTTTTAATAAAGCCTGCATCTTGATCTGCCATATAGCAAAGTTGTTCTTCCCCGTGAACTTTTCGATCTTCATGTTCACCGATGTCATTCTTCTGAATTGAAAACCCTAACCTGATTTCCAGCCGCGGCTCTGATACCACTTGTTATAAACGCGCTGCTACGGATCAGGAAATCGCCTGAATCGATAAAGCAATAATATAAAAGCGAGTGTCAATCAGTAGACTGTATTTTTCTAGTGATAGCATTTTCAGGATGCAGGTGGAAGGCAGAGGCAAAAGTTGGTTCATTTTCCTTGATGAAAAGCAGATCTCGTGGCTTACTAATAGAAACCGGATTTTCAAGGTCATCATTCCTGCTTTTGGTCCTGGCTTTGGTTGGGCGAATTTGATCCACCTCCTGCAAGATTTCTACGCGGCTGATCTGCAAAGTCGCATCTGCTCCTCGTCTATTGATGTTACTGTGGACATTCCACCACCTCCCCTTCATCATCCTGTTGCATCTAAAAGTTATGCCGACGCGGTTCGGTACGGTGGTTTCTATGGTGCCGGGCGATGCTCTATCATGGGAAAGGGAGTCCATAGGTTCATCGAGGTGAGCCAAGAGGGCGTTGATGCCCGTAACAAGCTTCTTGATAGATGTCTCGTCCTCTCCTTTTCGTCAAAGTCTGGTATAAGCTTCAACAAAGACTGGGTTCCCTCTTTGAGAAGGTGGGCCATCAGATTTTGGGCCATTGATGAGAACTTCGTGTTGGAAGACTGCTTGGACGGGAGGTGGCTTCTCATCTGCCCCAGCATTGCTGATGCTTTGCGCATCAAAAAAATAAATATTCTAAAGTTCAGAGAATTCTTAAGCTCCTGCTCGCTTTGGAAGGATGGTGAGATGCCGGTCTGCGGCGATGAGTCTTGGATCGTAGCGCTTGATATTCCCCTCCACCTAAAACGCGTGGATCTTCTTGTTGCAATCGGAAACTTCTGCAGGGTCTTTGTGGACTTAGACTGGGATTCTTGGTTCCTTCCCTTCGTAAGGATCAGGATCAAGAAGACGATCGCCATCCCTGACATAATTCCTCTTTGTTTTGATGGCCTGGAATTTCCAATTCAAATTGTTTCGCTGGCGGCGACGCCTCTTGGTCTTCCATGCAATACCATCATTAGTGCGGGCATCAACTCCCATGCACGTGTCTCGGGAACCCTTTCCAGTCACCCCGATTGATTACCCTAGTGTCGGCGCTTCGCCAAGTCCTATCTCCTCCCCCAGTCTCCCAAGTCGGCCCAATAAGCCCCGGGCCCATCCCAATCGAATCTGGGTTCACAAAGCTGGCCCCATTTGGCTCCCACCCCATCTTAGACCTAAACTGCCCCATTCCTCCCCCCTGATTGAGCCCATCTTTGCCCTCCCCTCTTCAATCCATGTACCTCCAATTAGAGCCCATACACCCTTTCCCTCTCTCATCCTTGACTTTGCGCCTTCCCCTAGCCGATCCTTACCCAGCCTTTGTCTTCACCTCGGACCTGATCTCATCATCTTATCTGATTTCGCTTCAGCCGGTCGTCTTCTTTTTTTCCCTGCTCTCGGTGCAACCCCCTCTCCTCTTTCCCCTTCAACCCCCCCATCCCTCCCTTCCCCACCCTCCTCCCCCTCTTCTCCACCCCTTTCCTTCTCCCCCCCTCCAACCCCCGACTCCCCCGAGCCCTACCGTGACCTCTCTGGAGATCTTACCCATTTCAATGACCCTAACCCGTTGGCCCTGGTTCCCTCAAGGATTGGCGAGCGGATTTGGATCTGCACTCGATTATTGCCGTTGGCTTGACTCTCCGCCGGCTTTTAAATTTTTCCTCAGAGGTCAGCAGCGAGGAAGTTGAGGATCAGTTTGAGGAACTGGCTTTCTCGTTTAAATCGAAGAAAAGGCGGGCGACTAGATCAAAGCTGCACATGGAGATTCGCCGCCTTGGACCAGTGAATTTTGTCCTAAATGAGCCGCGACGGAAAAGGGTTCCGGGTGGTAGTAATAGATGTGGATTCACCTCGTTTTTGTCCCAATGAATGACTCTATCCTTGCGTGGAACGTCAGGGGTTTGGGAGACTCTGAGAAGAGAGCTAGAATTAAGCCGATTATTCGTAGGTGTAAAGCTGCAGTGGTGGGCTTGATTGAAACCAAGTGGAACGATTGCTCCCAATTCCTTATTACATCGGTCAGTGGCAGTACAACGGTGGAATGGGTTGCAAAGAAAGCTCTTGATTCAAAGGGTGGTATTGTTGCCTATTGGGAACCATCTGAGTTTAGTTTGTTGGATTACTGGGAAGACAGTTTCTCTTTGGCCATCCGCCTCAAGGTTGTCCGATCTCAGAAGATCCTCGCCATTGTCTTTGTTTATGGCCCTCATGATAGGTCCGCTAAGATGACCTTCCTGTCCGAGATCGATTTTATTTGTCGCAGATATAGTGAACCCCTGTGTTTGATGGGTGATTTTAATTTGGTGAGATATGAGGATGATTATAGGGGTGCTCCCAGGTGTAGAGGAATGATGGAGGAATTCAACTCAGTAATTAATCGCAATGGTTTGATTGATCTCCCTCTTCAAGGGGCTGGCTTTACACGAAGCAGTGGGGGCCTCACGCCTTGTCTTTCTCGTATCGATAGAGCGCTGGTGAACTATTCCTTTGAGGATTCCTTCTCTCCGGGTCCCCTCCTGGCTTTTGAGCGCCTTGAATCTGATCATAACCCCATCCGTGTTCATTGGGGCTCGTCTGACCGTGTCCGAAGACCTTGGCGGTTTGAGAATATGTGGCTTCTCGAGGATTCTTTCTTGACGCAGCTCGTTGGGTGGTGGAATTTCCCGATTACTGGCTCGGGGCTCCTCTTCCTCGCTAGTCGCCGCCTAAGGCAAAGCAAGCTCCTCATTAAGAATCAGAATACTGAAGTGTTTGGCAAAATCCAGGTTAAGATCGAATCACTCATTAACAAGATCAATGAGATCGATATCTTTGAAGAGTTCGGGCCTTTATTTGATTCTCAGGTTATTGCGAGGAGTTTGTGGAGATGTGACCTGGATAAAATCCTCCTTATGGAGGAAATCTCCTGGCGTCAGAAGTCCCGTGAGTTGTGGCTTAAGGTTGGGGATAAGAACTCGGGTTATTTTCATCGTGCTGCCAGCAATAATCGCCGGAGAAATACAATTCAATCTTTGAAAATGGGTGAGGAGGTTATTACTGATAAAGAGGGCATCAAGCTTGTTTTCATAAATCATTTTCAGGATAGGTTCTCTGAAGAGACTCCCATTAGGCCCTTCCCCGCTGATTTCAAACAGAATATCCTCTCTGATGAGGACAACCTCCTACTCACCCGCCCCTTTTTGAAAGATGAGATTTGGAGAGCTGTTCGCTCGTGTGGGGGGGATAAAGCCCCGGGGCCTGATGGTTTCTCGTTGCGATTCTTCCAGAAAGCTTGGCATGTGGTGAAATACGACATTTGTAAGGCGCTGGACGAATTCTTTATTACGGGTTTTGTCCCTGACTCTGTGGCTCATTCCTTCATCTGTCTCATCTCCAAAGTCTTGTTCCATCGTCTTCAGCCTTTTATGGATCGGATCATCTCACGTCATCAGTTCTCGGGACTCCGTAACAGGCAAATCCATGAAGTTGCCCTTGTAGCTAATGAATTGGTGGATAGTAGACTCAGAAGTGGACGCTCGGGGATTATTTTCAAGCTCGACATTGAGAAGGCTTTCGACTCGGTTAATTGGAATTGTCTCTTTAAAGCCCTCTCCAATCTGGGTCTCGGCCAGCGCTTCTGTAAATGGATTAAAGGGGTTGTCTGTCACTCGAAGCTTTCGGTCCTGGTTAGCGGTGAAGCTGGTGGCTATTTCAATATGCAGAAAGGTTTAAAATAGGGAGACTCTCTCTCCCCTTTTCTCTTCAGCCTAGTCATGGACATATTTTCTTTCATCTTTCAAGTATCTCACGACTCTGGGCTCATTGAGGGGTTCTACGTCGATGACGCGATCAGGACTGATGGCGTGAATCATCTTCTGTATGCCGACGACACTATCGTCTTCTGTGATGCGACGGAAGATGTTGTGACTCATCTTGCTGGTGCCCTTATTTGGTTTCAATGTGTAACAGGGTTGAAGGTGAACTTTGGGAAAAACTTCCTTTTTCTTGTCGGAGATGTTGACAACATTGATCGTCTCGCGGAGATTCTGAGCTGTGATTGGAAGCTTCTTCACACGGACTACCTTGGCCTGCCTCTAGGTGCAGCCCCGACTGCCTCTTTTATTTGGAATAAAGTCATTGATAAAGTGCAGATTCGTTTGGCGGGGTGGAAAGGGAAGCGCCTGTCTATGGCGCGAAGGGTCGTGCTCTGTAACTCGGTGCTCACAGCTCAGCCTAACTACATGTTCAGCTTGTTCAAAGCCCCTGCGTCTGTCATCAGCAGTATTGAGCGCCTCCTCAGGTCGTTTATTTGGTCAGGGATGGGAGAAGACAAGAAGTTTCACCTCGTGTCCTGGGACAATTGTAAACTTCCCAAGCAGCTTGGTGGTTTGGGCATCACATACCTGGGAATTAGAAATCAGGCCCTGCTTATTAAATGGTGGTGGAGGTACACCGTGGAAAGAAATGTGTGGTGGAGGCAGTTGATCGCCCAAAATTTTCCGAATCCCTTTTCCCATTGGTCCGCTGGATCTCTTAGAGGTCGCATCGGCTGCAGCCCTTGGGCAGTCATCTTGAAACTGGGTTCTGAGTTCTGGAAGTTCAGCCACATTGATCCGGGATCTGGTCATGACACGTCTTTCTGGTTTGATATTTGGCTTAGTGATCGATCCCAGCCCTTGGCCCTGGAGTTCCCCCGAGTGGCCACCGTTTCCGCTTCACCAAATTGCCGCATTGCTGACCTGTGGATCTTGAGTGAGGGAAGTTCTTCTTGGTCTATTCCTATTTCTCATTCTCTTAGGGGAGGGGCTGAGGTTGAGAGAGTCAGTCTGTTGAACTTACTTAATAACGTATCATTCTCGAGTCTTGCTGCAGGTCCCTCTAGAATTGTTTGGGAGCTCACGCAGAATGGTGGGTTCAGCTCCCACTCTTATTATTCGGAGCTGGTCAAGGGAAGCAACCTTGCGGACCGTGACTTCCCCTTCAAGATCGTTTGGTGTCCTGTCATTCCGCCTAAAGTCTGCTCCTTCATTTGAACTGTCTATTACCGAAAAATCCTCACCCAATATGTGCTGAAGAAAAAAGGATGGTCTTTCCCGAATCGCTGTGCTTTGTGCGGCTGCTTTGAATAAACCATAGACCACTTCTTCATTTCCTGCCCTTTCAGTCGCGAGGTCTGGTTTATGATGAAGGCTTTGGTTAGCATCAACATCCCCACCTAGGACATTTCGTCGTTGATTAAGCTGTGGCCTCGAGACTCGTCTCAAAGTGCTTCCAGCTGGTGATCCAGAGTCTTTTTGCATGCTTTATGCTGGCGTTTCTGGCTCGAGCGCAACAGAAGAATTTTCAAAGACTTGTCCGTTTTGCCGCGCATGGTGTCTTTCTTGATTGCTAGATGTGCTCGGACTGGCTCTGTGCGGGCAACAAGGATGATAGAAGTGCCGCTGATTTGTGGCTTCAGATAGTCAGGAATAGGCTGCTTCCTCGGCCGGGTCCGTTTCTACTGCAGTAGTAATGCTCTGTTTTTTTGCATTTTCGAACTGGTTTCTTTGGTTCTGCTGCTGCAGTTGGTGGCTGCATCCGAGTTTTTCTCCTTTGTTTCTTTTCCTTCTGTTTGTCAGGCTTTAATCTCTATTTATTAATACTATTTCATCTTAAAAAAAAAAAACGAAAGCGAGAATCGAAAAGCACAGACACACGATTTACGTGGTTCACTAACACAATGTGTGTTAGCTACATCCAAGGAGAATTTGGATCACTAAAGTTCTTTGGCTGCGAAGGGTGGAAAGGGGGTTCGCCCACTCACACACACAGGACAGCCACCGGGTAACACTACCCCTACTACACAGAACGAAATCGTTAAGAATGCCAAGACTAGGGATGGCAACTTTGCCCATACCCATGGGTTTCTTACTATCCAACCCAATTGGGTTGGGTATGAAATCCAAATAGATGGATATGGGTAGAGTTTGATGGGTTTGTACCATACCCATTTACTTTGGGTTGAGTTGGGTTTATATCAAATGGATTTGGGTTTGTACCCATGCCCAAATACAAATTACAGTTTGGTACCCAAACTTAATAGACATGCATATTTAGTACCTAAAATTAATTTTTTTGCATATAAGTCCTCAAAATATCGA